GACCAGTATGCAACATCATTATAAATGGAGAAAAGATTGAAATTGTCAAAGATTTCATTTTACTTGGATCCACAGTCAACACCCATGGAAGCAGCAGTTAAGAAATCAGATGTTGTATTGAACTGGGAAAATCTGCTGCAAAAGACCTCTTCAAAGTGTTGAAGAGCAAAGATGTCACTTTGAAGATTAAGGTGTGCTTAATCCAAGCCATGGTATTTTCACTTGCCTCATGTGCATGTAAAAGCTGAGTAATGAGTAAGAAAGACCAAAGAAGAATTGATGCCTTTGAATTGTGGTGTTGGCGAAGAATATTGAAAAACCATGGACTGCTAGAATAAAGAACAAATCTTTCCGGGGAGTAGTGCAGCCAGGATGCTCCTTAGAAGTGAGAATGGCCAGACTTTGTGTCACCTACTTTGTCATGTGGTCAGAGTCCCTGGAGAAGGATATGGTTGGTAAAGTGGAGGGTTAGAGAAGAAGGGGCAGACCCTCAGTTAAATGGATGGGCACAGCGGCCGCAGTGATGAGCTCGAGCATAACACGCAGTGTGAGGATGGCATAGGACCGGAGCAGTGCTTTGTTCTGTTGTACGCAGGGTTCCTATGAGTCCGAATCGACTCTCCAGCCCCTAACAGCAGCCAGAAAATGCAACAAGCAGAAGGGGCCTTCACAGGACAATCTGTGCAAGTATTAAGAATAACTATGATTTATTGAGGGCTTTTTCTGTGCCTTTTAATTCAGATAGTTTCAGAGTTATAAAAAATTACATGAAAAGCACATGGGCTCTTGTATGTACTTGCCTGATTTTGTTTTCACCGTAGATTGGTTTTGTTGTTCTAGACCATTGTGTAAATGGAAGCATCCAGTATGAACTCTTTTTGTGTCTGGATTCTTTCATTCAATGTAATATCTCTGAGATTCATTGCAAGTATTAATCGTTCATTCCTTTTCATTGATGAGCTGCATTCCAGTTTATCCATTTTTTCTGTTGATAGAAAGGAAATTTGTGTGTTGTTTTCTGGTTTTAGCTATTATGAATAAAGCTACTGCAGTGTTCTTGTAATAGTCTTTGTTGACATATCTTTCCATTTTTGTTGGCTAAATACCTAGGAATAGAATTGCTGAGTCATAGGACAGACTTAGGTTCAATAGTGTAGGAAACATTTTTCGCAGAGTGGTTGTATCATTTTACACTCTCACCACCAACATCTGAGAGTCCCAGTTCTCCATATCCTGACCAACATTGGATGTTGTTAGTCTTTTAAACTTCAGACATTTTAGTGTGTGGTATTAATATCTCATTTGATAATAAAAACAAACAAACAAACTCACCGCCATCAAGTCGGATTCGACTCATAGAGACCCCTCCTTTGGTTTCCGAGGCAATATCACTGTGGAAGTAGATTGCACTGTCTTCCTTCTGCAGAGTGGCTGGTGGGTTTGAACCACCAGCCTTCTGGTTAGCAGCCAAATGCCTTAGGCACTACGCCAACAGAGCGCCTATAATACTCAGTAGTGGACCTGAAAGGAGCCATGGTGGCACAATGGATAAGTGCTCAGCAGCTAACTGGAAGGTTGGTGATTCGAATCTACCGGCATTCTCCTGTGAGGATGACAGCCCAAGAAACTATATGGTGCAGTTCTGTTTTCTCCTGCGGGGTTGCTGTGAGTCTGAGTTGACTTGATGGCACACAGCTGTGACACCATTAGACCTCTGCAGCCCTGCCCTGCGAGCCCCGTGACCTGGCCTGTGCCACTGTGTGTGTTAGGAGCTGGGCGTGCTCACTCT